TACGCGTATCCTGTTCCTCGCTGCACTTCCACCCACTAGTTTTGGCATCCACTGATGATTTTCTAACTTCAGCATTCCACGTGTGTTTATAAATTGACATCTTACTGAGAAGAGTGTTCCCTTCCCCTCATTTATTTATTCATTTACTTCTATTAATGAGGACTCAGGAATTCCTATTTCAATGGGTTATAATCTGTTGTTGTTGTTATATTTATTTTGGTGCTCACACTGTTCTAGCTTGGCCAGGATGAGTCCCTTTAGGGTGGCTTCTGCTTCCTTTGATATGGCACTGTTCGTTTTTGAGCACTTCTTTACTTTCTGGCACAAGATTTTTCAGGCTCATCTTGTACATTACCTGCCTCCAGCTCTGGAATCTAATTTTCTCCAAGCATCCCTGGTTCCTTTTAATGTGAATCCAAAGCTTTTGCCCTTAACTCTTTGCTCTTTACCTCTTGTCTCCCAGAAATGGTTAGAGTAGATTTTAAGGAGAGAGTCATAATTTTGTACGAACAGGTGAGCCAAGAAGTTTTAGATTATGCTGATCTGAGCCCCTAGGAGTAGCTGCGGTTTGGTGGAGCCTAGAGAAATATGAGTTCTTTTCTTCTTCTTTCTTCTTTCTTCTTCTTTCTTCTTCTTCTTCTTCATCATCATCATCATCATCGACACTATTAGGAGCAAGAAACATTTTTATTCATTCAGTGGTGCTCTGTGCCAGGCTAGGAAGAGGCAGGGCCAGCTCATGTAGGCATCACACGCCAGGCTGAGGGTTTGGATTTTAAGCTAAGAGCACTAAGGGGTCATCAAAGACCTTGGAGCCAGAGGGTCCCATCTCCCTTCTTCCCTTGAAGGTCATATATCTTTCTAGGGCTGCCTTCTCACTCCCTGACATCAAGACCTTGTGGCCAAATCACACAGAAAGGGGAAAAGGAGAGAAATGATGTACTTCTCCTTAAACACAATGGAAGGATGATCTGTCACCCTTTTCCAGCAGAAAGCACACTGAGAGGCCCAGAAGCTAGCATAGAGGGAGGGGTGGGAGTGGTGAGATTTGACAACCCGGACATTTCGAAACTTCCAGGCCAGAAAAATCAGGAACCAGTGTCTCAGAGGATGTGACTCTCTTGACAGGGACTCCCGTAATACACAAACAATAATCTATTATTTGACTTTCTTTTCCCAATCCACACTTTTCAAAGCATCTGGATAAGGCACAGGTTTGTATTCTTTAAAATGTTTCTCCCACAGGGCTGCCATGTACAGCTGAGCAGGTGGTTCACTGCCCAAGATGTGAAAGACATAAAGATGAATTGTCCAAATTCCCCTTCGAGGGAGGACCTGCTGCCCAGCTGCAGGGAGAGTGAGCAGCACACAGTCTCCTGCTGGCAGTACCCTCAGAGCCCACCCCGGCTGCAGGGGACCCTCCTTACCTGAGGTCACATCCTTCCTGGGGCAGCTCAAATCTGGTGACTGATGGAGAAAGAAAGTAAAGTCCCGTCGACTTAGGTCTGATGCTGGACAACTCTGGTGAGCACTACTTGCTCCGATGCTGAGACTCGATTGAGCCTGAAACACAGGTTGACTTCCCTCTGCCCAATCCTGCTCTCTCCCCTTTCCTTTCTCTAGTAAGCATTGCATGCTCCAAAACTCTGTTTCAAAGTCTGCTGTTGCAGAACCCACCCTGCAACACAAGAGTATCCAGCCCAGGGGATGAGTGAAGGCTGAAAATCAGAGCTTGTTTCTCTAGCCAGGAGGAATTAACGTGGAACTTCAACCACCAAAGGAGCCACCACTTTCTAATTCTCCTTGCACCTGCTTGGGGCTGCCCTGTCCACTCTCCTCTGGCCGTGGTCACTCTCTCTAAGCAAGCCCCTTCTCTCTGCCCTCTGCCCTCTTCTTTTTCAATAATCCCCCAGAAAAGCCTTCCCATTGATCCAAGAGACCCAGGGCAGTTCTGTCCCCTGTCTGCAGCAGAGAAATTGTTTGGTAGGTATTTAAACTTGCTCAGAGGACCAGTTGGGGGGCATTCATCTCTTCAGGGCATTGCCAGGCCAGAGGATCTCAGAGATGGAAGAACACCAGAGGCTTCTGCAAATGGGTAAGCCAGAGGCCGGCAAGGGTCAGGTTCTCGTCCAGGGTCACACAGTGAGCTAGTCACAGAACCAGGTGCTGGGCAGCCTGTCAGAGCCCCCTGGTCCCACCCCTGCCCTTGGGCCAGCCTCTGGAGACTCGGTTGGTACCTGAATTCACTTTACATCCTGGTATTGAACCAGCTCTTCCCTTTGGCTTCCATCCCCTCTGTCCTGAACTTTCCTGTGGGCCCCCAAGCCCTGCCCCTCCTCTTTGCCCTCCTTCCCAGCTCCGCTCCTTGGTCAGCCTAGAAATCACCTCCTCCCTCTCTTTTGCCCCTACAGCCCTTTGTTCACTTTCTCTGGCCTCTGGCCTTGGCCTTGGCCTTTTGCTCTGCTATCTGCAGGGCTCCGAGGGCCCAGGCTTGGCCAGTGTAGGGACATCTGTGCCTGGCTGGCTGGAGCTGGGCCCTTGCCCTGCAGGCTCAGCTTCCAGAGGGCATGAGGTCGCACCCACCTCGCCGAGGAAGCTGTCACACCGGAGCAGGAACCAGTCACCGCGCTCCCACTGCGTGCTGGACACTGAGCTTCCTGTTGGCCATCTCTTGTCTTCACAAAACTGCTCAGGGACCGTATTTTCACCTCTGTCATGGGAGAAACAGGGCTGCATGATTAGTAAGTGAAGGAGCTGGGACTGGAACCCCAAGTCTATACAGTTCAAACCTCCCACCCCCAGTCTACATTTCTACTATAACCCCCACCCCAATGCAGACTTAAGTTCGCACAGTGCCTCACCTGCTACAGGGCACGCCCAGAAAGTCACTTGGCAGTAAGTATCAAAGGAGTCTTGAGGGATTTAAAAATTTGATATACTTTGTCCAGGAATTCCGTGACTAGAAATCTACCCCAAGGAAATAACAAGAAACATGGGAAACAATTCATGTACCAAGACGTTGGTAACAGTATTATTCATCACAGGGAAAAAACCCGAAACAACCTACATGTCCAAGCCTAATTAAATTACAGCAGTGCTCTACGGAGAATACCCCGCAGGCATCGAAAATATTTACAAAGAGTTTAATAATGACACGGAGGCAACGTTCATGACATCATGCCAAATGAAAACAGCAGGTTACAAAATCATACAGCTCAATCTCAACCCTGAAAATATGCTCTGCAGTTACAAGGAGAGAACGGCGGCGTGAGCCTGCCCGCGGCGCGCACGCGACTCCCGCAGCAGCCCCCCCCCCCCCGCCGCGGCGCCGCCTCGTCC